TTGTAGATTCCTGATATTCCCAGAAATCATAGTCATCCGGTGTCTTTATGATGAGGGGGGAGTGACGTGTGTTTTGCCTGTTCCTAGAGCCTTTGGTGGCCAGAACTACTTGGAGGGAAAGGCAGAGAACAAAGAGAAATGGATACTGGGAGAAGACGCGGCCAGGTGCGGAGGATGTTCCGTCAAACTGAAAGCCAAGGGTGCAGAAGGCCTCCTCTTGGTTGCCTCCCTGCCAGTCTGTCACTCTTAGGACCTATTTCCTTAGCCAACCTCATTTAGTGCAGCCATAGACCAAATAAGGGGAAGGGGTGGGGGAGGGGAACAGTAGCATTCTCTCCAGGGGAATTTTCAGTGGCTTCTGTACTCTCTAAATCTAACACACCTGACGGCTTTATATAAAAGAGGAGTTGGCATTATTCCTTATACATTTCTGTATTTGGTTTGCTTATAAGGATTTTGGCTTTGGGGAGATGTTTACATAGTGTCTAAGTTAAAAATGAGTTCACACACCTATCGGACAAAAGCAGCATCCACGATGGTGAAGACTGTTAGTCACTTCGCGCAAACCTCTACCTTTTCGTTTCTGGGCACAGAGTTAGACGTACTGGGGAAAGGCACTCCCTGATCACAAGCACTCAGGTCAGGCTCGCTCTTAAGTGAGCAAGAGATTACCTCTTGCTACTTAAACCTTAACACATTGTGCTTCGAATTGCGGCTTCTACTTTCGCCTAATTTAACAGATACGCCCAGAGTCACGTTTGATTTGAGCATACACGGACAAACAACACATGTGTGCACACACATGCAACATATAATCACTTAAGCAATCACCTTCAAAGGCCCAGAAGGTTCCTGTGGAAGCCAGTGAAGCCTCAGCTTCTCTAAGAACAGAGACCGTCTGAGGAGTGCTGATCAACCACCAAGCGCTTTCCTGTGCATTCTCTCGGGACTACTTCAAACAAGCGTCCAAGGCAAGTGGTACAGCTCACAGGGAAGATAAGTGGCTCAGACCGGGACGTGGCCCTCCCAAAGTCACACAGCCGTGAGTGGAGGTTCTAGGAAAGTCTAGCTGAAGATGTGTCTCCCTGAAATACTGGTTCCCCTCTTCACCAGCGGACATTTATTATCTGCCCAAAGCTCAGCATGAATTCCACTTGTTGCAAGCTTCCCTGGGCCACTTCACTTAGAACTGACAAGCTGTTCGCTGGCCCCTCTTTGTCCTGTCCATATGCTGACAAAGTTGCTGTGCAGTTTTAGGGTATTTACTTACATGAGCTCTAAGGAATCTGAGTCAAGAAAAGTCTTCGACTCTCAGACTTACAGCATAGTGTGATCTCAAATCCAATAGTGAATACGATGACACAGGGGTAGCTCACGCCTCCAGCAGTGTGAGAACACTGTGAAATGGGGCTTACATTGGTGCAAAGTTTCCTCTGATAGAATTTAGGCATGATTCACCTGCCAAAAACATTTTTTAGATTTCATATAAGAATCAACTTGACTTTCTTAATTTTAAAAGCTAGTTGAAACACAGATTATTCCTGTTTAGGCTAGAATTGTTTTAGTCTAGTCAATATTGAGAAATGAGAATATATTAAATGTCCCAAATAATTCCCAAACTAACTATAAGTGAGTACTAATATAGCCAATATACAGGCATGTATATGCACATATTTAGGAAAATATACCATCTTTTCTTCAGGGTTTTTTTTTTTTTCATCCTACCCTTTTACTGTTTTTAGCTCTGCTGAGGGAGCTAAGGGGGGATAATTAAATGCTTCACATGGCCTCACAACTGCATTAGTTAGGAGCAATGAGACCAGTTGTGTACATGCAATTTTAAGTAAGGCACGTTCTTAATAGATAGAGATGCGCTACATTTTTGTAAGCCTTCCAAACAGTCAGGCATAAATCTTGTGGAGTTAAATCCTGCCGGCAAGTTCTCACACTTCTTCCTATGCAGGAGCTCAGACTAGGAAGCCGGGCTCTTGGCTATAGGAAGGCAGAAAAGGCAGGGAGGATGCTGGTCGATGAGAGCCACCTGGGAAATTCTAAAAGACTCACCATTTGTCATCCCCAGGAAGAAAAGTGGGAAGGGCACATGGAACTCTTGCCAATGTTGGTTTTCTAGAACATGCCTTTGGCGTAGTCAGTGAAAAGAGGGAGAGAAATCAACTGGTGAGCTTTCCTGGCCGAAAGACAAGATTCAAATAAGCTGTTTAGCCTTTGCTTTCAGTGTTCCCAAACATCGTAAAGATTCCAGCTCTTGTAAAAGGGAGCCCGTTGTTTACAATAGACTATTCTGGAGAGAGTGGGTGTGTCTCATGAGGCAAATATTTGCCCATAGCAGGGTAATAAAACCGTATGAAGCTCTTCCCCACTACTCTACGTGGTCAGTCACTCGTCTATTTTAAGATCTTGTCAGCACAAACATTTACAGGACCCTGGCATTTCTCCTTAAGAATATATAATTGACCTTTCAAGTCCATAATCTCGCTTATCAGAGCGGATGGCAGGGATTTATGCAGAGCGGTGTGCTCACCTCTTTGATTTCAGCCCTTTGAGAACCCAGACACGCATCCCACCCTATCCTGTTTTGTTTTCGCCGTATCCTGTGCTGTTGAATGGACCTCTTGTAAAAATGCAATGTGTACCACTCTCTTATTTTTTTTTCCCCTGAAGTTCTAAACAAATCTTACATCAGTTTTGTAAAATGTGCAGCTCCCTTACATTCCTTGGGCCGATTTTAAAGGTCAAAGTTCTAAAGAGCGCAGGAAATCTTTTTTCAAGAATCCACATGGCCGAAAGTCATTTGATCGACAATTAAGCCCAGCAAAAACTCATGCTCCAGAATTGATGGGTTTAAGTGTGTATCCAGACCAGCATGAGCTGAGACTCTCACTTTTACTGGTGTTCTCGCCATTTGCAAAACCTTCTGGCAAAAACACACGGACTAAGAACCACGGGCTCCTTCATTGTGGCCACAGGAGTCACAACAATTTGTCAGATTCTTGGGGAGGACGAAAAGGACAATGGAATCAGGGTCAACTAGATCGACCAGAGCAAAACCCAGGCATGAAGCCCTCCCTTCAGCGTTGCCAACTCTGCTTCACCGTGGTGCTCACCCTTCCTCCTCTCCGGGCGTCACTGAGCACCACCACACGTTTCTACTACTCTCCTCTCATAGCCACTCATGAAACAACACCTCTCACACACCAGCACCCTGTAAACACTTCACTCCGGGTTCCTCTTCAAGTTAGGTAGCGTGCTAACAAGGCCCCAAACTCTTCTTTGTTTAGGGCTGAACGATGTCCACCATCCAGTGTCAGGGACCAAGGAAGCACTCAGCTCTGTTGCGGTAAAAGGAACAAACAGCAGGATAAACACGGATACGATCCAGAGACAAGCTGTACTGGGGTCTAGGAATGGGACCCACAGCAATGGGTTCCCAATCGCAAGAGTGGTTGGAAGACTGGGGTGTGAAGAGAGGGAAAAGATTACATGTCAGAAGAAAAAGGAAATGATGTTGATAATGATTCCTGGAGTCACTGCCAGCAGCTTCAGCCAATTTGCCTGCAGGTTCTCAAGAAACGTGCCAAATGTGGCCTGATGCTACCAGGATTAAGAGCATTCCTCATGCAGATCAAAGGAAGACCCTCAGAAGGATTTTTTAATTTCAATACAAATATTGTCCCCCAAAAAGGAGATCTCCAGAATGCTAGACTTAGCACATATTAAAAGAATTTCTCAGATCACAGCAGGACTAATCTTTACTGTCACAAGATTCATTCACTCATTCGCTCATTCATTCATTCATTTGTTCAATGTATTTGGCATCTGTGAGAACAGTTTTACTTTCATGACTGTCTGGAACTCAGAGGAAAGGGAGCATCGTGACTGGAGGAGATGGGACCTGGTGACATTCAGCTCTTTGACGGGTCATTGTAACCTCTCTAAGTCAGACCTACTTCATAGAATCAGTATGTCATAGATAACGCAGGTTGAACAGGCAGAGCATTCAGATAACAGAAGGGCCAAACCAGGTTGGTTGTAAAAAACAAACAAACAAACAAACAAACAAAAAACAGTAATTTAGAGCATGAAGGAAAAGTTCCTGGAGATTAAAAAAAAAAAAGCATATAGTCATTATAAGCGTTGTTGGAATCCTGCACAGATCCTTAACTTTAAAATGGATTTCCTCTTCATGAATACAGCAGTCACACTTCCTTCCCTGAAGTAGATGCCGGTAGGTTTATTTACTCATTGGTACTCAGAATAGGTTTTTTTTTTCCTCCAGCAGTCTGGGGAGGCAGGCAGCCGGGTGGGTGGCTGTGGGGCCCACACTGGACCAGCATCTGAGTCGCAACAAATCCCATATTGTCTAGACCCTAATGAAATTGCTTCTGGCGTCTCCAGGAAAGTGTTTACTCGCCTCTAAATTAACTCCATTGTCCATCTGAGAAGAAAGTAAGTAAGTCAGTCGGTTATCAAAAGGAAAAAACGGGGTAGGAACGGAGGAGTGCTTGCTTACAGCAGTAGGTTTTATTGTTCTTAGTTTTTTGTTTGTGTTTTTGGTTCAGGGGTTGTTTTTCCACAAGTTCCTTTATGTCCTAAGACAAAGTCTGATGTCGTGGCTCTGTCCGATGATAATGAATTTTCTCAGGCCAGCCTTGGGCTCCCTGCCCTGTGTTCCCCCGCAGGCTGCACGCAGGACCTTTTCCTCCAGTGAGGGACTCCTCTTCTACAGCCAGTCAGCACCTGCTCTCAAAACCTGATCCCTCGCTGGTTTGTTTCAAGTGGAGCCAGGGGATCCGGACTTAATTAGCAGTGATATATCTCTCCTACTGATCAGTTCCATCCAGCTTCCCCCTGGGGCCCCAGATTTGTCTCTATTTGGAATCCCTGCGCTGGCTGGGCGGCTTGTGTTAGCTGGCAGACGCTGGGAGAGCACGCCGGGTGGGAAGGCTGGCCGCCGGGTGGGAAGGCTCGCCGCCGCCGGGTGGGAAGGCTCGCCGCCGCCGGGTGGTGGAGCAGGCCTTTGGCGGGGCTGGGGTGGAGGCAAGTCCTGGCGGCTTCCCACAGCCCAGCGCCCACAGCCAAAGGCCAGGCTCAAAGACAAGCCCCTCTTCAGACACCGGAAGAGACTCAGGGCGGCTGTGAATGACTGGAGACGGTGGTCACCCTCACCCACTGAAGGAAGCACCCTGGCAGAGGCCTGGGTGTTGTGAGCTTGCAAATGGCCTTTGGGCTGCTAAGGAAGGATTTGGTTGTTTTTTTTTCATGAGGGGAAACCGCCTCCTGCTCTGTACCATCTCGAGCCAAAATAACATGTTTTGGCAACCATGATTTGGCAATTAGGGCCTCAGCTCACTGAAAGCATTCTTCCATGCAAAATATGCCTTGGAAAGAAAACACTCAACCACATCTGAGTGAAAATATAGGAAGTGAACAAAGCGGTGACTGAGCAGGGAGAGGCAGCAGGGGCAGGCAGGAGCGCTTCGGAGGAGGGCGAGTTTGGCAATTAGACCTTTCCATTGCCCTGACTCCAACTCTAGCCCCGTCTAGAGAAAGACTGAAGACTTAGCATAACAGCGTGCTGTGTGTTGGGCTCCATTCCCTGGCCCTCAAAAGAACCTTCCAGCAGCATCTAAGGGGAAGCAAAAGAGGTATGTCCACAGGTCAGTTCACCCCTCAGCAAAGACTGAGCAAGGAAGGCAGCAGGGCCTGGGACCCCTCTCGGTACTGATTCCTTCCCTCTCTTCCTGACAGCGCGCCAGAGCCAAGACCCAAGACCGTGAAAGCAGGGAGGTTGCTCTTCCCACCATCGCATGGAAACCGCATCCTTTGATAAAGAGAACAGTCAAGCAGGTTAATTATCATCGATAAGGTACATAACGGAAACACAGGGAGATTATGACTCAGGGCAAATCACGTTTTCTGAGACGTTGCGAGCATGCATGTTGCCATATGTCATAGTCTTCTGTCACACATGGTCTGCCATGTTCTCCCTTGACTGTCCTTGCTCAATCGCCCAATTTGTCTGCTGCAAAACTGTAAAGATTGGGCTTTGAAGGCAGGAAGCAATACCCAATTACACCTTGCACACAAGAACACGCCTCCACAGTGGGCTCAGCAAAACCCACATCCTCCTGTGCAGCTGTGGCAGAGTGTGGCGGAGCCAGGGCCAAGACACCTGGACCCCATCTTCACAAGCCCAAATACCACCTGTAGATTATCTACAGGAGAAATGTTAGCGGTTGCCAATGTTGACTGAGACAGCCCAAGTGATCCTTCTTTACTCTATCAATATGCAACTATCTCATGAACATATTATGTTTTATCTTACAATTCTGGATTTTTCCTTCATTATTGGAATAAATTTTCCAACATTGAACATTAGCATAGGACAATCCTGGGTTGCTTATGCCCAGCCATGAAATGAACTGGAGAGGAAGGGGTGAGTATTCCTGGAACTTGCAGTAATCCTCCTGTCTCAGTTTCCTGAGTGCTAAGATTATAGGTATGAGGCTGGGTGGTGATGGTACATGCCTTTAATCCCAGCACTCAGGAGGCAGAGGCAGGCAGATCTCTGTGAGTTCGAGGCCAGCCTGGTCTACAAAGTGAGTTCCAGGTCAGGCTCCGAAAGCTACACAGAGAAACCCTGTCTTGAAAAACCAAAAAAGATTATAGGTATGATTTGCTATACCTGGATTACTTACTAATATTCAGATATTATGATTATAGTTTAACAATTGTGAACTCTATTATTTAATGGCTGCATCCATTCTTACAGGGTAAATTTCATGGGATCGAGTATTCTAAGATTCTTTGTGGGTTTATGTGAATGTGTGTGTGTGTGCTTGTGTGAGTTTATGTGTACCATGTACATGCAGATCAGAAGGTACCAGATCCCCTGGAACTAGAGTTACAACTGGGTGTGAGCCAGTTGGTGTCAGTGCTGCGAATGGAATCCAGGTCCTCAGCAAGGGCAGTAAGGGTTCTTAACTGCTAAGCTATCTCTAGCCCTATCGACGAACTATTTCTAATAAGCAAAGGGATCATTTTCTTATTGTCTATTTCTCATAATCATTCATATGATAAATAGGATTTGGTCATTGCACTGGGGTTTCTGAAGTCAGCTTTTGAAGTATAGAGTATTGGAATTTTAAAATAAAAGCATGCTATCTTTGGTTAGTATATATCAAGTTTAAATATTCTAGTGATCAAAGACCAAGATGTCTAAGTAAGATATGAATCAAACACGATGCATAGTCTTCTATTTTATGTGAACTATAATTTTGCATTAGTAATACCTGTGTTCAGCTGAGCAAGGTCAGATTATCCATGTTTTCAGTTGCCTGTTGCCCCTTTAACCGGATCAAACGTTGAATGACCGCAGAAGCCGGCTCACACAAGCCTGGCAGGAAGTTCCTGTTAGTCTGCAGAGGGTCTGGCCGGTTCTCCATGCCTCCCCTTCCTCTCTTTCAAGGGCCGCGATCTGAGTAAGTATAGAAGCTTGCTGACAGAATTGCCTGCACATTTCGGCCTGACTTCCTTTTGAAACCTTTAGAAGTTCTGCCTACAACTACATTTGGTCCCTAAAACCTTTAAAGTATGTAATATATTTCATTCCGGGTACTTTTAGAGAAAAAAATTATCTCAACTGGGCTCCGCCCCTTCGTATGCCTGGACCCCTACTCTCATGGGCAGGCTGTGCACCGAGTTGGCTCTTCGAAGGCAAGATGTATCCAATGCCAAAAATAATCCAATGTCACAAGAAGAGCGTGTGACAGATATAGAAATTGATAGCAGATGTTTTAGTTATTTTTATGGATGGCAGCTAGAATATTTTACCAAAATGTTGTTTTATTCCAAGCCTGAAGGCATTCTGACCCCAGAAAAAAAATGAAGTGACCTCATTTTTGCCAACATTTGAAAGGACCACAGGACTAGAGGAAGTGACCAGAAAAGCCTTTTAGAATAACCTTCAATAACCAGTTATTCTTTGGAATGTCAAAAGCCAAATAAGCCCATATGTCATATAATAGAAATTAATTATTAAATTAATAGACAAGTACTAGAACCCAACAGATTTCACATGCATGGATTCTAACCAAGATTTTAGAGACTAGATTTTTGCAGGAGTCTGAGGCCAAGAATATCATTGAATTACCCTCTAAGGCACTTACCCTTAAATAGTTCATTACATAGGTCTGAATAAAAGTGCCTTAATGTGAGTCTTTATTATTAGCTGGTTTAATGCCGTTTAGAGGTAGGTTTACCCAAGTATGATGTGCTTTTTCCTTAACAAGTTTGTTGGTGAGTTACAGGTGACTTCTTTATTCACATCTCACACCTGAGAACACTGGCACAGTAGCACATGGGTGCCAACCTTCTGTAGCCTCTCACTTCTTCCTTTCCTAAAATCACTAGCTTTCTGAAAATACTGGGCCCTGAAGTGCTATGGTGTGTATTGCTATTGAAAGGCTATAATAATCTAAAAGGCGAAGCTAAGAATATAAAGGGATGGAGAGATGGCTCAGTGGCTAAGAGTTTTTATTGCTCTTCCAGAGGACACAACTTTGACTGATGGCACTCACATCTGGCATCACAACATCTGGAACTCCAACTCTAGGTGACACATTACCTGATTCTGGCCCCTGTAGATGCTTGCATGCTTGTGTGAACACACACAGACACATAAATAAAATAGTAAATCTTTTTTTTTAAAGCTAAGGAAGTAAATAAAGGATGAATGTGTATCCAGGGGCTGGTATGATTGCTCAGTGGGCAGAGCACTTGCTCTGAAAGCGTAAAGTCCTGAGTTTGATTACCCTGCACCCATGTAAAAGGGCAGGGAAGGCTGTGGGTGCCCATAAGCCCAGCATTGTGCAGTGGAGACACACAGATCCAGCCAGCCTAGCCTAAACAGGGAGCTTGTTGTTAAAAAAGACCTTGTCTTGAAGTAAAAAGGCAGGAAGTGCTGGAGGAAGACACCCGAAGTCTTGCTCTGGAGTTGGAGCCTGCATCTTGGCACACTCAAGTGCATGCACCCCACAGGTACACCAAAATAAAATGAGAGACACAGTGAGGGATGGTGGTGGGGAAGCGGGCAGTCTCCGTCACCTTGTAAAACTGTCTGAAATGCAAGCAAGCAAGATCCTAGCAAAGGAGCAACATTATGCAGAAAAGTGCATTCCAGAACAGCGATAGAACCTAACTCCCAAGACCGGACCTGAAGTTGCCACTGGAAGAGCTCCTGGGATGAGACAGGCATGCGTACAGATCTGACTGGGACAACTCTGCAGTGGGAGAACCAAGCTTCCCTGACCTTGGCTGAATCATTTAACCTCTGTGGTTGAGTGTCTGAATTTATAAGAATAGTAATTCCAATTCTGCCATCCTACCCGGAGACACGGGGATGACCAGTGAGCTGCCACGAGCCGTTTCTGGAACCTTGGGTCCAGCTTCATCACAATGTTATTTATTTGATTAATGGGCAAGATTATTATTTATTCAACTAGAATTCCTATCTCTTCAAACCCTCAGCTGCACACCAGACAGTGGTTGCATTCTAGGCCATGGGTGCACCAGTGTGCTGCTGTAGCACTTTATAGTCTATACGCAGAAAATAAACTTCTTTAATAGTGAGCCCCTTTGTGTCTCTGTGCTCCCGCCCAAGCAAGGCAGGAGGAGCAGGCAGCTTCTGGCTCCAGAAAGCAAAGGCTTGTCTGAGTCTCTATGTGGGGACAGCAGCATTTTAATTCTCTACAGAGAATTAGAGCGTTGTCTCCTTTATTTCCTGTTGACTCAGCGATCTTCTTCCCACATTTGGGGGTTTGTGGGAAATGAGGAATTTGTATTTGGCCTACTGGAAACAAGGGCTGGGAATAAGCTACCATCATGCAGACCCTATGGGTTTTTGTTTTTCCTTTTAAATAATCTGAAACTCTTCTCAGAGACTCATTAATATTAATAAATATTATATTTTATTTGCTAAAAGCAGAAACTTGGTGATAAAAAAAATTGACTAAATACTGTATAAAACACAGTTTGAAGATTCTCAACTTCCTTAAAATTATTTCAAAAACAAACCAGCCCTTGTAAATGACATACAAAGCCTCATTTTGTTCCAACCACTCCCCCCCTTCTCATTCTCTCGCTCTCTCACTTCAAAGGCCCTCTATCAGGGAGAAATTCTCAAATTAGTAATGATTAAGAATATAAATTCTTTATGCATATTCAAGCATATACTGCAAAAGGACTTGCTATAAATTTGGTCCAATTTATTTAAAGTTCTTGAAAGATTTACAAACACTTTACATGTTTCCTATTTTCTATTTCTCTATTACTTAAGAAATTCAGAAAAAAATCCTTAAACCCACATAAATGTTCACAATTACCTTTATTTTGTTTCATTTTGAAACAAGGTATGACTATGTTGTTCAGACTAGTTTCAAATTTGCTATCCTCTTGCCTAAACCTCCCAATGCCTGATGTTACAGATGTGTGCCATGGTGCTGGATATGAGTTTTACTTTAAATTTCTAAAATTGAAAGAATTAACCATTTTTAATCATGTACCATTGTGTGTATATATAAAATTTTATGCACATAAATAAGTTTGTATATATTTATGATTTTAACCACTTCAAAGAATACAATTCAGAACTGTGTGGTCATTGGCATGACTTTCTCCAGAAATGCCATGTTATTTAAACACTCAATTTAAAATTCTACCCAAAAGAATTGTCCTAATCCCCAGGATAAAACTAGGAGTTACTGGATTCCATTAAAGGTGGCTTGGGGATAATCATTTGGGGTCAGGTCTGGTCTGGGTGCTTGGAATTTGGCCTCTGTGGTTAAACAGAAAGGGGGGAGGAGACACATTCACACACACAACAAAGCCTTCATCCAGAAGGCAGACAGGATGCTTATGTCTGAAGTACACAGCCAAAGATAAGGGAGTAAATGATGAAGTCAGTGGCTAAAATCCACAAGGAGACAGAGGACAGACATATGGTACCTCAGGGAACTCTGTAGGTGGATTCTTGGTGGCAAGCATCCAGGAGTTTTTCTCATGTGTATTCCACAGGCAACATTTTCTTATCTAGTTTCTCTTTACTGTTTTGCCCCTGTGTACTCTGGGAAGGAACAAACTCCCAGACATAGTAATTCTGTAGTCTATCACATACAACATGTTTTGAAATTTGGTGGAAGAAAGAAATGCAGTCTGTGAGTGTCCCCTGTAACTTGTTTGGTTGTCCATTTGCTTTTGTTAATATGGGCTGGAGTTCCATGTTTGGTGTTGTTTGGTAATTGGAAAAGGAGGGAAGAGGTTTGTTGAGGCATTAGCCAGATGGAGTTCAAAGGGAATGCTGTATGAAGCCCTTTCCTTGAAAAACAGTGACCAGAAGTCTATAGATTTGTGAAATCAAAGGCTTAGGAGTCCATAGTAAGATGTGGCCCAGAATCAGAAGACAGTTCTTCTCTCAGCTTTTGGTAGAATTTTCTATTCCACCAGCCAGCTCCCAAATAACCACACAGAGACTTATTATTAATTATAAATGATCAGTTGGTAGCTTCGGCTTGTTACTAACTAGCTCTTACAAGTTAAATTAACCCATATTTCTTACCTATGTCTACCACCTGGCTTAGTCCTTTCCTTTAACATGGCATGTTTATCTTGCTTCTCCCTGCACCTTCTGGTGACTCCACCCTTCTTCATTCCAGAGAGCTCTCTCTCTGTCCGCCAGTCTCACTGACCCTCCTTCTGCCTAGCTGTTGGCCGTTTAGCTCTTTATTAAACTAATCAGAGCAACACATCTTTACAGAGTACAAAAAGATTGTTCCAACACACTCAGCATCTGAACAAAGGGTGGCAGGGTCCTGATGTTGCAAAGATGAGACATTTCCCGGCTGTGCTGGTTAGTTTCCTGATTGTTTTGTTTTGTCAACATGGCATAAGCCATAGTTGTCTGGGAAGGAGAACCACAACTGAGAAATGCCTCCATCAGATTGCCTGTATTCCAGTCTACGGAGCATTTTCTTCATTAACCTGGGACGGTCCGGCCCACATTGGATGATGCCAGCTCCGGGCAGGTGGTCTTAGGTTCTACAAGAAAGCAAGTTAAGCAAGTCATGGAGAACAAACCAGGAAGCAGCATTCCTCTGTGGACTGTGCTTCGGTTCCTGCCTCCAGGTTCCTGCCTTAGCATCCCTCCATGATAGACTGTAACCTGTAAAGCAAATAAACCCTTTCCTTCTCAGAGCTGCATTTGGTCAGTGTTTAATCACAGCAACCGACAAGCTAACCTAAGCCGTGGCTTTTGTTCCAGGTGGTGCTAGTGATCACATCATGAACAGGGACAGCCAATATTCTTCAAGTGGTTTCAGTAGGTGTGACAGTTTGGAGACAAAGCAGAGGGGTGCAATAGGCTGACACCATGATGTGTGGGCACATGGAGAGTTTATCATGTAAGGATTCCTGCAAGCAGCCCACAGACACTGAGGAGGAGCGTGAAACATAACATGTTACAGGGCAGAAGACTTGATCTCACTAACCTTTGAGTCCCGTTATATGAATTCAAAATATTCCATCTTTTATTCCTAACTTTCCTCTGCTAAATGACAGCTATATTGATTATTAACAAAAATGTAACAGTATTCTATGGATAAATCATACCTCAACAAAAACACTAAGGCTGCAGTCAGAAGTATCTTATGAATATTTTCAGAGCAGAGACAGGACACTATATTATCAGCAAGTAGAGAAGAGGCTGCAACATTTTAACTCCATGCTAGATATACACAAAGTTAATTTGTTCAACTGAGAAATATGTTCAGAGGTTTGACTATGAATAAAACTATGAAAAATCTAGACTTACTTTGTGTTGGTTAGTTTCATGCCAACTTGACATAAGCTAGAATCATTTTCTTTGGGGCGGGGCATTTGAGACAGGGTTTCTCTGTGTAGCTTTGGTGCCTTTCCTGGAACTCACTCTATAGCCCAGGCTGGCCTTGAACTCACAGAGATTTGCCTACCTCTGCCTCCTGAGTGCTGGGATTAAAGGCATGCACCACCACTGCCTGACTAAGCTAGAATCATTTGGGAAGAGGAATTCTCAAATGAGAAAATGCCTACAAAATATTGGGCAAGTCTAGTGGGCAATTTCTTGATTAATGATTGATGTGGAGGGTCTAGGCCACTGTGAGCAGTGCCATCACTGCGTAGGTGATCCTGGGTGCAATAAAAAGGCAGGCTACACATGCTATGAGGAGCAAGCCAGTAAGCAGTGATCTCCTATAGCCTTTGCGTCAGTTTCTGCCTCTAGGTCTTGCCATGAGGTCCTGTCCTCTATGATGCAGTGTGACCTGACAGTTATAAGCTGAAATGCACCCTTTATTTAACAGATTGCTTTGGGCCATCACAGCAACAGAAACCTCAACTAAGAAATTGGAACCAGGAGTGGGGTGCTGCTTTGACAGACCTGTTCATGTTGTTATGGGAGAACTGTGAAGAACTTGGGAACTTTGTGCTAGAAAGACCATTGAGCATTCAGAGCTTAATGAGCTATTGTGGGAATGTGGGAGATAATGTTGGAAGCAGTGAAGATGATGAAGGCCTGGCTTGTGGAGTTTTAGAGTGAAATTTGAGAGCCCCTTACAGATTCTTTTGGAGCCATTTGATATTTTGAATGGTTCTAATCCACTGGGGCTGAAAAATCAGCTGTATTAACAAGAGACCAGAACCACTAATGTGAGACCTTTCCTTTGCTGGGACAATACTAGTCAGCTGAGGCTGAAGAATGCATTGTAATTAAGAAGAGACCAGTGTCTAAAGCAAGGAATCTATGGCAAATACTACTACAGGTGTCCCTGAGATGAAATCTGGGAACTACTTCCTCAGGGTCAGCACATGAAAACTCTTGTCCAAAGGGGGCTAAAGCTGCACTTTGTACTGGTATGTGTAAGAGTCTCCCAAGTGGAATTGTTTTTGAAGGCCTGAGGAAGTGCTCATGATGTTTTAATCACAGCAACAGAAACCTTAACTAAGACAGATTGACAGATACCAAGTTAAATGGTCTGGTTAAGACGCAAGTTGGCTGTAAGGCCAGACACAAGGTAGCTACAGTAACAGCATATTTCAGCTCTAGGGTCCCTCTGCACTTGACCTTCTCAGTAAGTTCCATGCAGTGTGGAGAGAAGACTCAACATGTGAACAGGCTTGTTCTACCTAAGCATGACACTTTTCTCTGGCTGCAGTCACTCCAAGAACCAGACATAAGGTACAGCCCTCTCTTCCAGAGACTCAGTTAGGCCCAGGAAAAATCTCTGCACTCCCTCCCTCCCCCTTTCCCCCAGTCCACACTCACTGCAGTCTTACTTCACTGGTTTCTTCTGCCACAGCCTCAGTTCCACCCTCAGTGTTTCTAGTTTGTTTTGCTTTGCCCTCTGCCCTCTGCCCTCTAGTTGCACAGGACACCGCCATACATCACAGGACAACATTAACCTTCCATATTCCACATCTCTATAATCCACACTCTGGCTATTTTTGTTTCCTTAGAATCTGAAAATCTTCACTTCTCTCAACAAAGCCTGGATCTCCCTAACGAAAATCTTGGCTTCCACATCTATTTTCCCTGAAATGGGTTTCAAGAGCCTGTTTTTGGAAGCCCAAAGCTCAACACTGGCTCCTTTGTTCTTGGCCATTACTCCTGCCTTTCCCTGAAGCAAGGGGTGCTTTTGGCTGCCATGGGCACTAGCAAGAATAACCAGGAAGGAAAAACACATCCACTGATATTTTAAAATATTGTCCCATTGGAGAAGAACATAAAGTAGATGCTGAAGTTGGAAACTTCACATTTGTAGCAATGCTACTTTCACAATTGCAGAATGTTCCCTTGAAATGCTAAAGAACTCTGACCTTGAGCCTGGACTCATCTGAGCTGTATGTTGAAAAGGTGATTTTTTTTTTTTTTTTTAAGACAAAGAGCAAATAGCCAGACTATTGAGAAGAACATAATGAAGGAAGCGAAGTCCCAAGGCAGCTGGCGGGTCAAGAGGCTAGAACCTGTGGTACAATTGAAGATGAACTGATTGGGAATTATCTTAGCGGCAATTACTAACATTCCTGAATTCGTGATTTCAGCACCAGTCACGCTGCGGTGAAAGATCTCACTTCTCTCGGTTCTGTGCGATGGATACTAGAGGGTAGCTAAAACCTAATGCTTTCCCCCTTCACATTCCTTTCAGATTTCCTTGCATCTGGACCATTCCCCACCACAGTCAGCTTCTCCTCGCACCCTCAGGAGGGGGAGAAAGTCATGTTGTTAATGCGATGTCCGCTCACCCTCATTGGACTCAAATACCGTGTCCTCACTACTTAGTCAATGGAAAATGTGCAAGATGCATGTAACATTGGTACTTACACAGGCAATAATTACTTCTCTAGTCATGATTTACAAAATGGTTTGTCTATCTTATTAACTCCAATGTTGTTTGTTTATTGGGGATTTTCTGTTTTGTTTTCAGATGAGGTCTTATTCTGTAGCCCAGCTAGTCTAGAAGTCACTATTTAGCCAGGCTGGCCAATGAGACAATCCTCCTGCCTCAGCCATCCAAGTACTAGGATTGCCAGTATTGGCTACCACAGCTGGATGCTGATACAACTATTCAGATTTTATAGATGAAGAAATGACAGTCCGGGGGGTTAAATACAAGTTCACAAGCTAGTGTGCCTTCCCTCATGTGTAACCCCACATTGATTCCTTGTCTGACATGGTTCCTTGGCGTCTCATCTGTACCCATAATTCATCTTGTCCATGGGCTATCTCTTTTACCTTTTTTTTTTTTTTTAGTAGGATTTTTCTAGGTAGCCCTGGCTGTCTTGGAACTCTCTATGTAGACCAGGCTGGCCTTGAACACAGAGATCCAGCTGTCTCTGCCTCCCAGGTGCTGGGATTAACAGCATGTGCCACTGTGCCTGGCTCTGGGTTACCTCTTGTGGGTTACCTGTTGACCCAAACACAGCCCAATACTTCTCTTTCTGTCTAGTGTGTGGCACGCTGATGTGACACCCACCTGTTGGCACATGACACTAGGTCATTATGGAAAGCCAACACAGAGCCCAGAGGCTCACGGGTGGTTCTCCAGTGAAGCAGGAAGCCTCAAACAGAAGGCAGAGGCTAAAGAGTCGCTGTGAATATCCCCTGCCGACAGCTCTCTGGGTTTCCGGTCTAAAGGTTCACCAATTGATTCGTGAAAAGGAAGTCCCGAGGGCTTGGACAGACCAGCGTGAGTGCACTGCAGGTAATACTCCAAGGGAGACTGGCATTTAGGAAATGGGAGTTTCACAGGCGGATAATCTCTCTTGGACCTTTGGATCAGAGGGAAGAAAGGGGCAGGAAGGAGAACAGAATTTTTATAGCCTTGTATATAAAGATCTTCTTGTAAAACCAAACTTCAAAGGGACAGAGCACATCGCTGCTTTCCAAGGAGTCTCACTAATTATCACAGCATCTCAGCAAGCAGCACATACTGAAGGAATATTCCTCAGGTGAAGAAACTGAGTAGAAAATGGCTTGATTATTGACAACCAGAGAAATACAGCATGGAGTGTTTCCAGCTCCCTAACATGTCAGCAACCTCTCTTGAGCTCCAAGTACTTCTAAAAGAAAAGTCTGTTCAGACCATGGGGACGCCAGGCACTATGCCAGGAGCCAGGAAATAAGTCCCTGGCCTAAGAGGGCTCCCATGTCACCTGGTCACCAATGAAATTTGCAAGTGGCCTACCCTGGCACCACACGCTAAGCCCAGAGATGTGCCTATGAACGAAGAGCGCAGGGGGTCATGGAGAAGAGCAATCCCTGTGCCTAGGAAGATTAAAGAGGGCTCTTACTCCATCTTCATCGCGAGATTTTGAGAGCCTGCTCCAGCAGAGTCCTGGGTTAACACTTTGAAGCATCCGCTAGTTGAGGACCAACCCTTGTGCCTCCGTGCTGTGTTTTCATAGTCTCCCAGACTTCATTATCCACACCCACACGCCACCAGCTAATGCGACGAGCTATGTAGTCATAGCCCTACATGCCTGCTCACCCCTTACCATGAGCAATGCTAACGCTGTTCTATGAAGTATTTCATTTAATCCTGCCCAACAAAATACACCGCTAAAAACATTTACATTCCCATTTTACAGATGGAGGTTGGTAGGACTTGTATCTTGCATGCTTGGTCACAGTGAGATCCGGTGCTGACCACAGTGTAGTGGAAGAGTGGAATGAATGAGGGCAATGAGTTTGCTCATTTGTACATAGAGTTATCAGCTGTGACTTCTGAAGCTCTCAAATCAGTTAGTAGCTTTCATCTAAATAAGTAAAATCAACATGGGCCCTTTGTGTCTTTAACGCCCAAACTGCTCCCC